GTATTTCGGCGTAGTATGGGTCGAGAGTAGCACGTACGTCAAGCACAACATGTGCATAACGCGTGGGAGGGGGTTGATCGTGGTCCAGATACTGCAGCACATCGGACTTGTTCGGACGCATCAGTTCGACAAGGGAACTATGTGGTCAGTGTGTTACCATGGACGGAGTAGCTCAGCTTACATTGTATTATCCCACTCCCCGGCGTCATTGGCGGCGGTTAGGTTTAGCTCAGGCTGTTGGAACAGCCATTGCACAACAGATGCTGTCTCAACATCTGTCAGGTCTTTCCATGGGTTTTCACTGGGAGACCTGAATGCTGTAAAGTTGCTTCGTGTGCGTGCAGATAAAGGTGTTGCGGAGCGAGCTTGCATGTTGTGCATCCGGCCCTTTCTCACTCGACCGTGGCGTACCCATCCTGGTTTGTGCTCAGGGTGATACCGAGCTAGTACATTGGTTATGAGACCTACAAGCAAGAGACAGAGCGTCGTTAGTAAAAGAGTCTGTCGCATGTTGGGCGATTGAGATTCATATATGATGCTTACATCGGATACGCAGAGGAGGGTTCGTCTCTATATACCTGCAAGCCTCTGTGTAACTCAGCTTATGCCATAGCCACACCAGGAATGTCCCCGTATACGATCGCGCTTGTTATAATCCCGAAATGGATGTTGCGTTGCCTGTTCGAGATTCATTTCGCAGGCAGACTCGCTTGAACAAGTAGGTGCAATAGGATATGGATATTCTACTACCATCAGTATTGGCTACATAGACTTGGCTTTGAAGAAGTGGAGTGAAATAAGATTTGACCCTCGGTCATGGCTGTGCTTAAGTTCGTGCACTTAGGAGCGAATAGGTTATCGCAGCATGGATGATGTAAAGCTTCAAGGATGTCTTGATATTATCATAGCCAGGCTGTAGCTTCTGCACGGGACAAATAAGCGTAAATCCACTAAAGGCAGCATGGTTACACTTTGACAGCTCCAATCGGAAGATAATGAAAAGGCGAAGAATGCAGAGAGATTTGGGATAAACCTACAGCCGTCGAGCACTCAAAGGCGTGGATGATCATTTTGGTCACGAGTTGCTAAAGTCCTCGTGTTGACTGTCAGGTTGGAAAGTGGCAAGTATATTCCCTGTCAGAAGATTTCGGGCCTTCCGAAATTATTATTTATTTTATCTTTTGTTGAAGCTTAAGAAGAGATCGGCTGATAAATGATCGCAGCGAAAGTGTGAGCATGAGGAGCGGGGAAAGGTTTGGTTGGAGGCCTAAAGTTGGGTTCTGGATTCCTCCGTGTCAGAAGAATAGTCAGCACATTGACTTTGATGTCCCGGAAACGGCTTTCAAACCCACAATGAGGATTACGAAGCAGCTACGAGGATGGGAGAGATGGTGGAAGATGGAGAGTGGAAAGATTGCAGCCATTGAACCTCAGATCGCTTGGCCGCCCACTCCCCTTATTTGGGGGGTTGCAGGCCAATACGATTCTATATTTATACTTACTACAAGCTACGGAGAGTCCGAACTTCTACTCATGAAGGTGACCTTGGGAATGTCATCCTCGTGTTGCGTCTCAAGGCCGGCAACCAGGATGTGTCGCATGAGGCCGGACACTGCAAATGCGATGACTGGTTATGGTGCAGCCACATATGTAAGATTCCTTAGCCAAGAAGAGAAGCACTGCAGACGTCGGACAGAAGAGTAAGCAGAGCACAGGGATATAAACTAGTCAAGCCCAGCGAGCTCAAAAAAAGATTGGGGAAAATTCATCCCAAAACCGTGCCCCTGGCAACATCAAGATGTCCCATGAATACTGCCTCGACGCCCTCGTTGTAGGGACGGGTTTCTCTGGTATCTATACTTTGTACACCCTCGCCGAGGAAGGCTTGGCCGTCCAGGCAATTGAAAAGGAAAATGACGTCGGTGGCACATGGTATGTGAATCGATACCCCGGTGCTCTGAGCGACAGCTGGAGTCATGTTTATCGCTATGCCTTCGACGAAGAATTGCTCCAGACCCATCCGGTTGTGAGAAGATACTCCACCCAGCCAGAAATCCTGGACTATCTCAAGCATGTTGTCGAGAAACATGATCTCCGAAGCCGCATTCATTTCAATACGGAGATGGTCGCTGCCAGATGGGATGGTATTGCTAAGGAGTGGAGGGTCCAGTGCCAGACTGGCGATGTATATCGCGTGAAATACCTTGTCACGGCTGTTGGGGTCCTCGTCAAGCCCAAGGTTCCCGATATCCCTGGCCTAAAAGGCTTCAAAGGCCGGGTTGTCCATACAGCTGCGTGGGATCCAAGCATTCATGTGGAAAACAAACGTGTTGGTGTCATAGGCGTTGGTTCAAGCGGGGTACAAGTAGTCACTGCTGTTGCTAGCAAGGTTAAATCGCTCCATGTTTTCATCCGTACTCCACAGTATACTATCCCAGCAAACGACAGGCAGATGACTCCCGAAGAACAGAAATCAATGGATGAGAAGTTCCCGCAGGTCTGGTCAGATGTACTGACTTCCCGGCTGGGAATGGGCTTTCTGGAGCACGACAGACCATTCATGTCCGTGTCCCCAGAGGAGCGTGAGAAGATCTTGGAGCATCTCTGGAGGGACGGAAACGGTATCCAGATGATGTTTGCAGAATTCTCAGATATTGCTATGGATGCAGTGGCTAATGAAGAGGTCTGCCGATTCCTTCGCAGGAAGATTGCAGAGATCGTGAAGGATCCCGAGAAGCAAGCTGTTTTGACTCCAAAGGAGGCCTGGAATCGACGGCCGTTGTCAGACGCTGGATTCTATGAGCAGTTCAACCGGGAGAACGTGTATGCCATTGACATAAAGAAGCATCGCATCACCGAGGCAACAGCTGAAGGTATATGTACCTCGGACGGCAGACTCCACGAGCTAGATGTGATAATCTTCGCAACTGGCTTTGACGCTATGGACGGAACCTACGCTCAGATCGACATTCAAGGGCGTGAAAAGGGCGAAACTCTGTATGACCGTTGGAAGCGTACTGGTCCGGACTGCTATCTAGGCTGCTCAGTTGCAGGTTTTCCGAACCTGCTGACCGTGCTTGGACCGAGGGTGGCTTTCGGAAATGTGCCACCGTTGTTGGAAATACAGGTTAGCTTTTTAAGAGACGCAATCCGGCGGGCCCAAGATATCACCAGACACACAGGGAAGCAATGTGAAATTGAAGCAACAGGACAAGCTGAGCGCGAGTGGACTGAGGTATGCGAACAGATAGCGAAGATGCTTCTTTTCAACAGAAGATCATCGTGGATGTTTAGGAAGAACGTACCAGGAGACGCAACGTCGAGTCTTTTCTACTTTGGGGGACTGGGAGCCTTCCGTGCCAAGCTGAAAGATACAAAAGTCAACGGCTTTTCTGGGTTCAAGAGCCCATTAGGCCCTGCTGCAGAAGCACGCGCACAGCTCTAGATCATATTTGGGTCATATACTGATTCATGTGATCCTGATACGTGGGTGCTCATGTACCGAACTGTTAGTTTGTATTGTATGTTAAAAACCCCAAGTCTGCGCATGATCATATCTTGCTGTATCTTTAGTTGGCCGATAACAAACCGTTTTGAGTGGGAGAGGTCCAAGCAGTGGTTGTCACTGGGCCCTAATAATGAACTCAGGCATCATATTTGCTCGATTAGGAAGGACCCCCCTGTCACTAGCCTCGTCGCGTCCCAGACATTGGACTGGCGCGTGGCTATTGGCTAAAAGAGCAAAGTGGATTTTCGCGATTCTTCCAACATCTAGGAGTTTAAACAGCTTCTATTGGTTGGAGGAAACTGCAGATTACCGGTGAATGAGCCGTTGGAAATATTTACCGTGGGCCGGGGATGATGCGGTTATTACTTGGCGAGTATGTCAAGGAATAAGGCGGTATGGCGCCAGAAAAGTGGGCTTGGTGGTTTTGCCATTGATATCACTATGACCTGGGCTTATGACAAAGGACAGATAAGGAAAGAGGCCCGGATTCGCATACTGAAAAATTCAAATTTGGAATTCCTTTATGACAGTTCACCCTATCAGCCGTTCTATTTGCATCGGTTCTGTCCGCATCTTCAGGACGGGCTTGTTACGGACCTCGTCTGCTTCAGGTATCGCCACTGAGAAGACATAAGAGACTTCACCAGTTGCTGCCTAAGATACTCTACCTGAGATTTCTACTTGTCAAGTCGTCGTTGAACTTCAAGGAATTCTGATAGCCACTTGGAGAGTCGTTGTCATTTCTAGAACATACGGGAGGACAGCAGGTTTCTCTAGAAATTGGTAAAGCGAATCTTGTGGTGTTGGCAGAGGACTACACGTCTCAAGATGAATATCACCACTACTACCTCTCCTCGCGGCCAGTCGTTAGCCACATGGTGGTTGGATTGTGTCACAACCCGGTGCCCTATGCTACTGACCTCGACAATGCAAAAGTGGAAGGGGAGAGGCGGATATTTGGCTGCATATTGTGGGGTGGGCTACATGCTCTCCTCTCCTCCTTTCATGTGACGGAAAAAATAACTACGTTACTGATGAATGCGCTTAGATAAAACCGAAGACCTGTCGACTACTAATTATGTAAGATGTAAGGGTGTGGTCCAGAAACAAAGCTTACTAGTCATCAATAAGTCAAGCACGTACTGGACCACCCACGCCATAATTTCCAATTTAAGTCATCTGAAACCTTTCTTGCCTCAAGCAAAAGGCTGCGACAGACTTTAGGTCTGACTTGAGCCTGCTATGACTGTTATCCAAACTATCCGTTCGTCAGCGCCGGGTGTATACTGTATACTCCCAAGAAGCTCACTCACATGGCAAAGAGATGTGCCGATTGCTTAAGCTTTACCCCAGATTATTCCGCAGCCAAATATCCATTCTGGCTGAATACCGGCTATTTGATGCTGCATACTCACACATTCCGCACAGCCGCCAGTGTGAAGAATCACCAGTGGCCCAGCCCTGCAGTGACTCTAACGGGATCTGTTACGGAGTTCGGCCCGCAACGACGATCTCTAACCATTTCGATCTGGAGTTTCCACTCCGTGCCGTCTATCCCAGACTCCTCATGTCGGAGCTGTCACGGCTGTCACATTAGCCTTACTTAATTTCCGTGATGAAATCAGCCTACACTTCTATTCCTGAGCCTGGATCACACATAATACCCACTGAACTCAATACTCCGCATAACTATAGAAACACACAATTACTCCATGATGTTTCAATTTACCCGCTCCCTGCAGCGGTATAAATCGTCTTCGAATCCTTTGGTTTCTTCACTACGGTTCAAACCATCTTCGTAGAATCCCAGCACCATCCATCCATACTGCCTAGCACGGCAGAAGAGACCACCATGTTGCTATCAACCCACCTCCTCTTCGTCATCACCACCCTCGTTACCTCCCTCCTCCACCCCATCGCCGCCCATGCCGTCAAGCGCAGTGGCAGTCTCCAACAAGTCACCGATTTCGGTGATAACCCTACGAATGTAGGCATGTACATCTACGTGCCTAACAACCTGGCTTCGAATCCAGGTATCGTGGTTGCAATCCACTACTGTACGGTTCCCCAACTTTTCTACAATATACACCACAATACTAATCATAGTATAGGCACCGGCACCGGCCCCGGCTACTACAGCGACTCCCCCTACGCCACCCTCTCCGAGCAATACGGCTTCATCGTGATCTACCCGTCCAGCCCATACTCCGGCGGCTGCTGGGACGTGAGTTCGCAGGCAACGCTGACACACAATGGCGGTGGAAACAGTAACTCCATTGCCAACATGGTGACATGGACGATTAGCAAGTACGGGGCCGATAGTAGCAAGGTGTTCGTGACGGGATCGAGTTCGGGGGCTATGATGACGGTATTTCCTCTTCCCTTCCAACCGTTCCCTTCTCTACACATCAAAATAGTAAAAGTTGTGCATGCTAATAAAAATAAGAACGTAATGGCAGCAACCTACCCCGAACTCTTCGCCGCCGCCACCGTCTACTCCGGCGTCTCAGCCGGGTGCTTCTACTCGAACACCAACCAAGTAGACGGATGGAATTCCACTTGCGCCCAGGGTGATGTAATCACCACCCCCGAGCACTGGGCCAGTATTGCCGAGGCAATGTACTCGGGATACTCGGGAAGTCGTCCAAGGATGCAGATCTACCACGGTAGTATAGATACGACGCTGTACCCTCAGAACTACTATGAGACGTGCAAGCAGTGGGCTGGAGTGTTTGGGTATGATTATAGCGCACCGGAGAAGACGGAGGCGAACACCCCACAGACGAATTACGAGACGACGATCTGGGGAGATAGTCTGCAGGGGATCTTTGCGACGGGTGTGGGTCATACGGTGCCGATTCATGGGGATAAGGATATGGAGTGGTTCGGATTTGCTTGATTGGATGATTGAATGGTTTAGCCTGGGGGTATCTTGGAACCGAGAATGATGAAACTCCTGAAGTATGATATATGGACGATATTGCGTCAACGAACGTTTCTTGAAGTTTCGATTTGTAATGTGCACTATGAGCAAATGCGCGCTGTCCGTCTCTGAAACGAGTACCGGTGCACCACGAGAGCTGCCGTAGGCGGAACGGGACATGGTCCCACGGGGATAAAGAGGAAGACGGGAGGTTTTGGACTCCTAAAGGGCATGCCATCATCAAATCAGGAGTTACGGGGTGAGCAACAATCTGTTCGGCGTCTTGTCTGTCGCCGCAGAAGAAACGGGAGACGTCGTAAATCGTGGAAAGCATAGTCATCCACCGTCATCAATCATCATATGCTGCTGTATCTTTACCTAAATTCCAGACCGAGATAGGTACTCGACCCTCCTAGAGTCATGACAAACATCATATTTTCCCGACTACAGCTGAGAAAGATAATCTCAACACAGAGTCGAGTCGACGGGTCAACGTTACAACAAAATGTCCAGAAGTGGAACACAGAATCCTGAGGCCATCCATATCATCATGTATAAAATCCAAGAAGAGTATCAGGAATTTACTGTTTGTGATGTGTAGAAGATTGGGCGACCGGGAATCACGTTAAGGCTTTGGGGGAGGAGAAATTGAGAATCATGTCTCACATCATCACCGCTTCTTCTTCCTGAAGACAGCATTCCCTCTTTTATTCAACGCAATAGCGCCGATACCGACCAGCGATAATCAAGGTGGCAATCAAAACAAGTCGAGGTAATCAGGTACTTTGGCAATTTCATTGGTTGTTTGTTCTGAGGAACGACAGTTGGCATTGGTGAAGAGCTCGGCCCAGTGATGTTCCGGGTGTGTTCGTAGGCTGCGGGTGCAGAAAGAGGTTCGAGACATTTGACCTTGAAATGTCATAGGAAAGTATTCAAGAATGACATTCTCTGCGTCTTTGGGAGCACGTCGCAGGTTTCGTACAGGGCGTGGAGGGCGTTGAATGTGCAGACTGGAGGGGATATTGGGGCGGAAAACAAGGGATAGATGCAGTAATAGTTCGTCATGCGGTGATCATCGTTGCACGTCACTCGTCCCTAGGTCAACATCAAGCAAAGCTAATGGTTTACCAGCATGGTCAATTGGTCAGAGTGATTAATGGCAATGGATAGAGTTAGTATATCTTCCTAATTAACTACCCCAACTCAGAGATTTTTGAGCGAGCTTGTCAGCATCGCAATGTTATTGACACATATTAGTCGTATTCGACAAGTACAATATGAACCCGGCCGTTCGAGATGTTTTCATCAAACCCACGCCAGCGTATCCGACATCACACCTTCCACCCCTGAACACATTATGTATCTTCACAGTTTAGAGTACTTCTTGACGGTCAACATGGCAGACTGCGGTGCTTAGCATTTAGTGGCATTTCTGAAGAAGTAGTGCGTGTTAGTCATTGTTGTGTATATTATACCATTATTAGTATAGATAACTTACCCGGTCAGATCCGCAGACCAGAGGAGGGCAGCAGCTGTTTCCGGCGGCTGTAATGTTGCCGCCAACGCAAAGGCCGTCGTCGCGCTGGGAATTGTTAGGAAGCTGTTGTATTATGACTTGATGGACATAGCCAAACTCACTCCAAGGCACATAACCTGGACGTTGAGGGCGTTCAGGGCGCCATTCTCAGCCGGTCTGGCGACGGCAACAGAGGCGAGGAGAGCGATGACAGCGAAGAAACGCATTGTGATTATGGAGGAAGGGTATTTGGTGAGGTAAAGGGTTATTATTGTTGGCGTGCGTCTGTGATTACTTTAGGATCGGTCGTTGTTAGACTCTGGACAAATAAAACTATTCGATAATAGAAAGACAATAGGAAATGGAAATGACACATACCTGGACGTGCACGAGGGAGAGAATGGAATGTTAAGAACGTGGAGAGGAGGGAAGGTTGGGAGAAAGAGGAAAGGAACAAAAGACGGGTCAGGTAGGGATGACGAAGAGGGATGGGGATGGGCGCGACCGTTTATTTAGGCAGGGAGAGGAGGCGTTGTCGATCGATGCTCTTTCCGATCGGGCGTCATAATCAAAGTGTGTCGTTGGTGAATGTGATGCAGGCACACGGTTAGCCCACCGGATATTTTTGGAATAAAATATTATCCACATAAAAACAAGTTACGTACTTACTGAGCAGAATCGATAGCAGGGAAGCAGCAACAAGCTGGCCAGCGTCGCCAACGCAGGCCGAAACAGCAATCGGCGGGATCGGCGCGGGACCCTGGGGTTGGGATCGGCATGCCCCTGGCTGCTTAGGCGCAGTGGACGAGTGACAGCCCATTGTCGGCTCCAACGCAGCTCCATCGCCCGCTGCGATCGGCAGGCCCGGGGGCCAATAGTCGCTGGGCTTACGGGTTGGAGTCAGGGCATCCCCTTGGCAATTGCTACACTACTGCGTCCTTGATGCCTTGGCACAGTGGGCGTGCGGAGACTTGGATGCTGGATTTTTACGTTGTTGCCTCTTCTTTAGGGATATGATCTTTGCCACAATGAACTCGCGTTCACTCTCTCCTACAATAGATCCTTTTGTTCTAGCTACTATCATTCTAGCACGACGGTAGACTATTCTCCCGATCAGCCAATATTGACGCGCAGGTGGAGCTATAGAGCTTGATCACCGCTGCGATAAGATAAGGAACCCCCTTTATCAACTCCCAAATCTTGAGACATTACTCATTCCTTGCCTGCTCAGGAGATCTCCTCCTCGCTAATCGTTGCACGACGCAGCTTCGGAGATTATTTTAGCCCCGTGAGTCTCCTGGTCATATCTCGCTTAAGCAGCAATACAACCTATCCACACATCACTTTGTCCCAGCAGCTACATGATTTCTTTGACTCGAGTCACAGATTGAAACCACCAACACGGGACACCGAAGTATACATCGTCATTTGCTCTGGAGACACTTGTTATAGTCTGCATCCTTGCCAAGGATGTAGGGGATGTCTTAAAGCCTGTGTTGTGTATCCCCGTTTTCTACCAACATTCCTCTCAAAATCTGCTGGCAAGGAAGCCCCCGCGGACAGCTCCCCTTACCGGATAGCGGCGCCCTAGGGAGGTCGTGGTTTATTTAAATTCTACTGAATTATACTCGAATTATCAAGGGCCGGTCCTTTATAAACCGGACTATCCTGCCTCGCTCACCAGAATCTTTCAAATTCTCCCTCTCAGCCATATGTACCTCAATTCATGACGACCAGAGATCTAGTAATTTCTCATGGTCGCACCGCTTTCATGAGTGTGAATATTTGTCCCCCTTACCCCTAATCAGGGCAGTTACCTTGTCGTTCGTCCAGGTCCCGAGGCGATCGGCAATCTCGTCTCTCCACTCTCGAACGGACATGAGTTCGGTATCCGCTTATCTAATTATAGGGTTAGCCTGGAGGTCGAAATCTCTACCTGGCCTCCTTATCAAAGCCTGTCAGTCGCGACTTTACTGGCAATTCTTGGATTTATTACCCCTGGCAGAAGGCTTGACCACAATATCTCCGAGCTCCGAATCGTGGGCTTCGAATGATACATCATATATGTTGACCTATACGGGAATTGAGATTCAATAACGACTGTACCACGTGCTCCCACATGACAAGAGATCAATTGGCGGACTAAATGATAATATTGGTGCACGTGATATGAGAACAGCTGCCTCCATGACAGTGACCTATGCTGGCTATGAATGCGCCTGCCCCCTTTATAAAGTTTATCGCTAACGACTTCACGTATACTGAAGGTAAGCTTGGGTATGGCCCAACCCATGCTCCGTCGGAGTCCTTGGCCCTTGCACATAAATGAATAAGCACTTGAATGTTGGTTTCATGGGTGCCTGACCTGCAATGTCCGAGGCCTAGACAGCATCGTATGATCTTGAATCATACGTAGATGTTATATTCGGCATGCCGCTTTGACTGTAACAATATCATGAATTAGACGCCATAGATAGAAGTAGATTGATGGACCGTACTGCGCATCTGCCGATCAGACTATTCAAAGTTCTTCCAAGATCGCTGCTAGCAATGATCAAAATGTCATAATGAGTGTATGAGTGTATGATGTCGCTTGTCCTTATTTTGGAGCGGGCCACATGCTCTACATCAATGATGTGTCCGTGGAATTCAATGTATATCATTGTTGCATTTCCAGCTACATATGGCCAGGATGCATTCTGGATTCACATTATCTGTATTGATCACCTCAGACAGCCTGAGCTTTATTAATACCAATCAGTAGGTAACAGACGAGATCACGCAGTGATAGGACATGGGGAAAGAGATCTACTACTCAGAATATGTATATACTACGTAGTACTAGGTAGTCAGCAATAAGCAATTACAGAGAGAAACAACGCGCGGGGCGGCCAAGACGATCGGAATGCGGGCAAACGATTGCCCATTGCGCCGGAAGCCAATGGGAAGCCCTTATTCTAGACTATGCGCCGAGACCGCTCCGTTGTGTTGTCTGGGCCGCGCGCACCAATCACCGACTGGCGCCGACGGGGTTCCGATTCTTCCGCCAATATGGGTGATTTTGAAACAATCTGGACGGAGCAGCCTTGTGGTCTTCCGTGTCCGAAAGGCTACAGGCGGGAAGATGCGAGCTTGGATCGCTGTCACGCCATCTTACTCTACTCGATCTCATTCCATACATAATATGTACGAGAGGGTGTGGGGGATCATCACCCAGGCAGGCATCTTGTATAATAGTCCTCTTATTTCTTGATGACTAGTACCTTCGTAGTGAACCAGCGCAGATCAAAGGATGCCTAAAATAAATCATACTGAGAAGTTGCAGCGGATTGAGATGGAAGAGTCGAGTTGTTGTCTGCTGATTCACAGTGCTTTGTGCAATCCATAGCGGGAATCAGCCATGTAACAGCCGTACCAGTCCAAGCGTGCCAACCGACAGACGAGGTAAGAAATAAATTAATATAGTTAGCCAGTTCATATGGCCTGAGCCCAGCGTGGCGTAAGGGTCCACTACTCTATGACAGCAATTGGAGGGGTAGTGGTAGAGTAGTTTAAATTTAACCAGCCACCCCATTTGATTAGAACCACCATTAAGTATGGCTACCGGAGTCCCTCATGACCCATGGATCGTGGAATCGCCCGGGAGCTTGGACACCCGGTGGCCCAAGACATTCGACACATTCTAATTCCTGGAGGAGCCAAACGAACAGCACAGCCGTAGCATGGGATGAATGATTGGATTGGGTTGCCTTGAAAGTGGTAGTGGAAGTAGCGAAAGTGAGACAGTGAGACACGCATGGTACAGACAGCGTAAGCAGGCAGTCGAATTGGGGCTATTTTTGGCGACCCTGTCATTCCCACTCGGGCTAGTCGGGCCGAGAAGAGTAAGTGTAAGCTGTCTCTTCTTGGCCTCGTGACCGTTAAAAATGATTCAATGATCTTTTTTAGTGCAGGCGTCAACTCAGTTCTACTGGTGGTATTTGGAGTGAGTAGTCTACTAGTAGTGAGGGAGGATGTATCTAGTAAGTACCGTTTGTTACTAGTCCCATACTCTATACGGAACTAAGCCGGAATTGACTTCTGGGCGCAACTCTCTTCCCGAGCCATTTTCTCTCCTCTTCTGCCCCCCAAGAATAACTCTTCCACTTCTTCGCCAATCCCACTTGGCACTCTTTTCTTCTTACCTTCTTTCATCGGTCTCTCGCTTCGTTTGAGTGGCCTTTGGACCTTCGTTTGTCCCCCCTATATCCCCCAATCACTCCTCTGTTCTCTGCGTCATGGAATCCAGCAGCTGCATCCCATCAGGACCCATCGTTTAGCGTTTCCTGCAAGGTAGGCCTATTTTCCCGGTGGACCCCCGAATTTCCGTGAGCTGACCCATCATCCTTCTCCAGCTTTCTCCACATTCCAGCAGCAGCAAAGTCCCCTTGTCCCGCGATCCCTGATCTCCCCTCGTTGCCTTGTCTCTTTCCATTCGTTTGCAGCCCTCGAGATTCGTCACCTCGCTCCAGCGCACATGGCAGGTTTCATATCCCATGCATAGTCCACAGCTTATCGCATAACTTCGGGGCCATTTCAAATCACCTTGACAATCGTCCCCACAATCAGGGATTGTTCTGCGACCACGCTCGGCATATACATTTGTGGGATTTGGCCATCACCGATCGGATCTCAAACACAAAGAATTAGGAACGATGGCGCGCTCTGCCAGCGGCGGCTATCCCCAGCCGCCTTCTTCACCTCCGCCCGTTTATCTTCGTTCTTCTCCTCCCATCCCCCCGGTGCCTCGTGAACCCCGGCGGGACAGCTTCAATCGCTTATACAGCAAGCCTATTCCCAGGAAGTCTCTGACGGATCCGGTGTACATGCCGGAAGATCGCCCCAAAAGCCAACGCTATTCGGTTCCACGGGTCAGAATCCATGGGGAAAGCGATCCGCCAGAGCCGGATTACCATGAGGACGGTATTGAACTGACGCTTCCTACTGATGAATTCGCCCACATATCTCTCTCCGAGCAGCAGCAGCAGACTCATGGAAAGACCATCGATGGATCATCTCCACCCCAGGTACCAGAGCATCGGACATACGGGCACACACCCCATAGCAGTGCATCTTGGTCGGTAGTCGATCCCCACCCCAAAGACAACAGTCTGCCCAACACGAGCACATCTTCGTTGGACCAACAACCTGCCAAAGACAGTCAGACTAGCTCTTCCCGGGACAGTCTCGATAGTGCGACGCAAGCTTCTGAAATTTATGAACCTTTGCACTACCATCATCGACCGTACGAAGCTCCCCAGCCCGCAAACCAGCAATCACCAGCACCTGGCTCATCTGAGAATATACAGAAGCCACGCCCAGCCGCCAATGGTCGTTCTCTTTCAACACACTCGCTCGGGTCCGACTTGGGTGAAAGACGGAGATCTTCTCGGCTCTCGCCATACCTCCACGCCCGTGGATCATCCCGGGACTCCAGTGCATCTCCCGATGTCCGACCAGTATCTTTCGTAGAACAGCTCAACAACTGCTATCCGCAACCCGGACCTGCCCCGGTACAGATTGGCAACTCCCATCTGCAATCCGCTGTCGGCAACAACGCATCCTTGTTGAGCCACAAACAGACGTTCGACATGTATCTGGCAAATGTCAAGAAGACCGATGACCCCGCCATCCAGTATGAATTCGCCATCTTTATGGTGAACGCGATGTTAGAAATGCCTCCCGACGAGGCCGACGGTGCATCTGCAGTGTATGGCCAGAAAGGAAGCGACATCAACCGTGCTAGTCTTCTGCGCGAGTCCAAGTCCATCCTCCAGCGCCTAGCGGATCGCAGCTACCCCTTTGCTCAATACTATCTAGCCGACGGATACGCTTCAGGGTTGTTCAGCAAAGGAAAAGAGGACTATGATCGGGCATTTCCACTGTTCCTGGCGGCCAGTAAACACGGGCATGTCGAAGCATGCTACCGTACTGCTTTGTGCTATGAGTTCGGCTGGGGTACCCGAGTTGACGCCGCTCGGGCACAGCAGTTCTACCGACAGGCAGCATCCAAAAACCACCCGGGCGCTATGCTACGTATGGCAAAGGCCTGTCTGGAAGGGGATATGGGGCTAGGAAAACGCTATCGCGAAGGTATCAAGTGGATGAAACGCGCTACCGATTCGTCCGACGTTCAGTATAATTCTGCTCCTTACGAGTTGGGATTGATGCACGAAACGGGATACGGCGACGACGTGTTTCCAGACCCTGCTTATGCTGCCCAGCTGTTCACCAAGGCGGCGGACCTAGGCCATATCGAGGCCAGCTATCGCTTGGGTGATGCCTATGAGCATGGCAAACTCGAATGTCCGAGAGATCCTGCTTTATCGATCCATTTCTATACCAACGCTGCGCAGGGTGGCCATCCTCTGGCCATGATGGCACTGTGTGCCTGGTACCTCATTGGGGCAGAGCCGGTGCTGGAAAAGGATGAGTATGAAGCCTACGAATGGGCTAAGCGTGCTGCGGAGGCTGGTAAGACACCCACATAGTAGTTCAAGCAATGAGATGCTGACCTTGTCATGCAGGACTCACTAAGGCACAATATGCGGTTGGATACTTCACGGAAACGGGCATTGGCTGCCGGCCAGACCACCTAGCAGCCAATGTCTGGTACGTGCAAGCAGCGGAGCAAGGAGATCTCCGAGCTAAACGCCGAATTGCCGCCATTCGAGCGGCTGTCGACGGGGTCAATCCAGAGAAGGCTAGCACAGCAGCAGCGGGCACTGGCCGTGGGCAGAAGGAAAAGAAAGGTGCGTATTTCTCCAACTGTGTCACAACCTGTCTAATAGATGATACAGAAGGGAAATCGAAACGATTTGGTATATTCTAAGCATGACATATCTTCAATAGCCCCGAGGGGGTTCCGCATCTGGCAGCACATTTAACAATCATTTACATTCATGATCACCATATAATACATTTCAGCGACAACGAGCAGCACGAAGAAATTTTGAGCACATTTTGGCATTTCATTCTGGATTATATTGAGCGAATTGATTCACGCGAAGCTTGTTTCCCGGCATTACTGGGGTTGGACCTGTACAAATTCTGTATCATTTATAATGATTTGCGGAAAATATAATCAACTTGAAGATCATTAACTTCTCTTTCTCTACTATATTGGGACCTTCTTCCTCACCGAGTAGTATGGGCTCCTTGGATGTGTGCGCGGTCAACCAGATATTCGTATGAGCGGGGAAAGAAAGCAAGTCGCGCACCCACGTGGCCAACTAACCAATCTTGGAGAAGGGCCTGGTGCGCAAACCTTTAGAAGACTAGTCTGCTTTTAAACCATCAAGTAGAGTGCTTATCGACCAGGTCCTATCTATGAATGAAATTACGCCGCGTCACTGGTCAAGAACCAATCCATGTAGTACGTTATGCCACACCATATTAACCATTAACCAAGTAAAGATCCTTGACAGTGTAGAAAGTTAGCGACTGATTACAGAAGCATGAGCCTAAACATTCGATGATTGCCGGAGCAAAGGAGGGCAGATGGATGAAAAGACTTCAAAGCCCCTTTACTATATGACCGAAATTTGCTTTACATAAAAAAGATCAGTCTTTAGCTCTCCGTAATGTAACCTCATGCACTGATTGTACATTCGTGGAGTCACTAGCTCGCCCAATCGGAATAGTCCGGGTTGGTCTCCAAAGCATCGAATGCTTGGAGCGATAAATAATGTGATGTGAACTGGAGTTCGTCCCTATCCGCTCTGAATCGGGATCAACAGATGGAGTAAACACAAGATAGACCCACCACCCCCAGGCAGCATTAGCAGTATAAGGAAAGGTGTCTTGCCGTATATGAGCAATCTCACACATGCTAATACTGTATAGCAGAAGTAAACGGCGTGGGTTTTCCATCTGTGGTATGGCTGTCAATTGGGTTACGACGGCCCCACCGTGAACTTGCATGGACCAACTCTTGAGACATGTGGGGCGGCAGGGCTGCTGGGGGGGGTATGTCGGAGTATTCCGACTGCTTTCTTAACTTTTTCCTCCTTCTGGTCGCAACCCTTGGTTCGAGTCGAAGTGAATGGGTTTTCGTGGATAGATAGAATGATGAGATTGAGAAAATCTAATAGAGGCCTTCTAGCTCGGTGCTGCGCACCTCGTGTCACTCAAGGGTGTGCAAAATGTTCAACCCGATTTACGGGTCTCGGATAAGTTGTTGTTTTTGTTTTTGTTACTTCTGACAAACTGAATTGATTCTGACAAAGGCAGTCAGGCAAAATGGATTACCATCCTACTACCCATCAACATAGCGCCAGATAATAACGTAAAGTATCAAAAACCCGGTGTTGAGTGACAGTGCCAAATCCCCTCCGTTAGGCCATTGCATATAACCCCAAAGCCATCTTATGCTGGCAGTGAATAATACGATGGAAGGTAAGCTGCTCAGATAGTCAGCTGTGGATACCGTAGTATTCGATTTCGAGATGTTTTTATGTACTCACGTCCACCGATTTCGTACGATCCTCTGAGGGATAGTAGCAATTTGCGAGGATGTTTGCGAAGAAGAGGAAGGTGGAGTTGGAATCGTGGTTTTCTTATTGGCACTCATTTGGTTGTTTGTGAGATGAGAATGGATACGGGAGGTGCCCGAAGGAAGATGATATGCTGTGTGGGAAGGTGGCCTGCCTAATGAATAAATGAAAAGATTGATCATACCATGGTTGCCGATCGGATACTACTCTAAGACAGCCCTATCTTACGCTTTTGGCCCAACCAAAGTTCCTCCGGGTCTTGGCAGTCCGATGATATCCGAACGTTCGGCCTCAAGGTCAATACATTTCAATTTTCCTGGCATTATTTGCAATCATCTTTGACACCGGTGTATTTCTAACTGTAGTAAAGTGTCTCTTAATTCGGACTCGCTAACCTGATAATCACGTACATACATCATGTACTGGAAGAAGATGTGCTGTCAACTGGTCGACCTCCACCTGCTTCTCCGAGGTCTTGGCATCCAAGTGGAAGATGAATCAGGGGCATCCAACTACTGCAGGGATTCCAGTGGCCATCTTCCGGGCTAAGTGGGATATTATCGTACTAAGGGTTTAGACTGGCGCTAACTGACCCATCTGGTCAGGATCCAAGTGTTTGTAGCTCAGTTATCCACCGTACGCTGTGTTTGTGCCCTGATATATCTCACTCTACCCCCCACATAGCAATGCGCGATTTACATAAGGGGAACACCTGCAGTACAATAGCCCAGCATTCTGCGGGGTCGATTTGGTCTATTCAGAATTCAACCTGGAGGTTTCCTTGAGTACCCGAGCCCAAACTTGCTCACAGGGCTATAAATAAGGAGTGTGATGGCACTCCCAAGTAGCTGAGCTCACAGTTGCAACATCTACCTCAATTTATCAGTATGAAGTTCACAACTTTTCTTCTCCCTGTTTTGGCTACGAGCCAAGTGGTCTTAGCGGCACCCACTGCCCCTACAGCAGTGGATATCGCCGAACTCCCACCGGATATTGGCATTGACATTCGTTCCCCCAACCCGGCTGCTGAGCCGCTGGCTATTCTGGAGCGGAGGGACACCAGGGTCTGCGAGGTAGTCAATCGCACAGTTCGTTCCATTGGCACTAGCAAGTTCACGTAAGGCACCATTCTCTTATCTAGACTATTGGAAGTCTCCAAAACGAACAAAACACGAAGAATTTAGTACTGATCAGTCGGAAGGCTTATTTATATCACTATGGGATCCGGTCTTGCACGAGCTGTGTGCCAGTACGTTGACGGCAGTAGATGTTCTGACCTGTCGTACATTATCCAAGCCGGTCTAACTCTGGTCTATGTCGCTGCCGCTCACTACTCTGGTGCCGTCCCCGAAGGGCTGCCTAGTAAGCGCCATGCCGAAGTCTCCGATGACTATCTTCAGTTATGGCAGACTATGTTGTCTAGCAGTGATGGTGTCTCCTACGACAGTCTCACTTCTCTCTCGACCCCCTCAGGTAATAGTACCTTGAGCCGCCGTCAGGGCGAGCCTTCACTTCTCCACGGGTTCCAGATTAGTGGATTTGCTCTTGATAACTCCCCAAAGCACGACATCATCGCCAATCATTATGATAACGGCGACACCGTTCTACATCTGCCTCTTCCAGGACAGGATGATGGTGCGAATCTCAACAAGCGCTTTGACAAACCGGGTTTCAAGATCTCGTTCACTACCCGAGAAAGATCGAAGCTTACCCAAGCTCATCAGAAGTCTATGGCTCTGGCAGGGGCTGCGACGTGGGCTGTCTATGCTGATAATGCTAGCCACAAGATGAATGACTTCATTGGATTTGCTGAGACGGAACATGCGGCTAATTTTTACTATCGCATCATTCCGGAGGTCAGGGGATTTGGAACAAATTATGAGACTGTTGATATTTGTGGTGGGATGGCATCATACTTGTAGGACGATACAGCGTGTGAAGCTGGCAGCTTCCCGAGCGGACTGGTGTTCTTTGGTTCCAAGTTGGTTATATGCAACGAGGGCTGGCCAACGGGAACGTGTAGGCAGCTCGATGGATGAGGTTTGGACTGTTATATATATATATATTCCCGTGGCACGGATTTAACAATTTAGGTCGGTTGGCCATTGGGGATCTCTTAGGTACTTTGGAATTTATAAATGTTGTAAGATATGTGTCTAAATCAGCAGTATCGGAGATTCATCTAGCAGTACTATGTAGTAGTATGAACTATTCTATAGTATTAAATATATTTTGCAGTTAGACTACGTTTCACGATTATCCACTGTCAGTAATAAATGTAAACTTTCGTTCCAGGTCTGATACACCCTATCTATCTAATGGCTGAGAGCAGTAACAAAGCCTACGCAATTACCACATTTCATGTCGGAGGTTTAGCCAGGAGAATCTCGAGGCCAGTGACATGGCAGTGCCTTGATAGGGGGAGCACTGACCAATCAGAGAGCCCCAGATAAAGATCGTTATCTGGGGAAGACGGACGATATCAGATAAGAGTCAATAGCCGATCTGCCCGTCATTGATAAGACTAGCTTCCCCCATGATTCTCTTCTCGTTCCCCTCTTTCCTGGCCCAGAAATCAGAGTATTTGTGAGCAACACCTTCCTCTCCTGGCCGAATGCCATCCAACTGTCACACAGTCCAAGCGTGCCAAGGGCAGCCAGCCACCTGTCATCTGCGAACCGAAGGATCGACGAGACAAATTGCGGGGGTGGGGTAAGACTATGCGCCCCGGATTTGCTCATTTGCTCCGTCGTGCCGTTCCCCTCTTTGCTTCTTCCTCCTCTCCAATTTCTCCCCATGGCGGATGTTATCCACGCCAACGCAGCTATGACTTCCTATCAGCCATTCCAATGTCTGGTTTGTATGCGCCGGTTCACTCGGCATGAGAATCTCAAACGACATGCAGCTCTTCATTCCCGTTCCAGAAAAGAGGTCTCTCTACCGTGTGAATTGTGCCAAGCGACCTTTTCGCGTCCGGATTTGCGCCATCGGCATATGAAGAGGAAGCATGCAGAACACGAGCAACGCCGAACCACGAAAAGGTCAAAACAGAGGAACGAGTGCTCCCTTCGGCCTCAGAACTCTGGTCCGCACCGTGGCCAGCTGCAGGACGTCGATGAGCTGGAGCTGAATAGGCCTGTGTGGACTGAGCCATCGCAAGTGCAGTATGCAGATGATGCAGGAGGAACTAGCACTGCGTCCAGCGGATCACCCATAGAGAACAGCGATCGTATCCAGCCTACCCCAGGTAACCCGACGCAACCCATATCAATGGACGAGTCTGTTTTGCTAGACGCGTTAGATCTGGAGCGTAGCCTGTTACGCGAAACATCATTTACCCAAGCAACAGACCAGTTCGAAAACCAGCCGCAAGCGATATCCACTTCACAGCCTCCGGACATTGACCTGAGCGACCTCAGCTATTCAAAAGATTTCTCGATCATCCCTATCGCGCCCGAGAGTACCCTGCCTCAAAGCAACTGGTTTCCATCTGCCTCACAGATCCGCCAAGGCTGCAACCTCTTCTTCACGCATGTCTCCCACTTCCTCCCCTTCCTCCACCACCCAACATTCAACCCCGGCACCATACCCTCCCATCTCCTCCTCGCCATGCTCTCCCTGGCATATCAATACGGCGAAGACCCAGAATGCGATGCCCGCTCCAACACAGGAACCAGCCTCTCCACCCGCTGCTACCTTCTCGCGCGCTCCCTCCTCTCTACCGACAATCCTCACACCACCACCACCACCACCATTACCGACTACCTACCTTTAATCCAAACCTACCTCCTCCTCCAAATCTGCGCCATGATGTACCTCTGCGGCTCCGACTCAACACAAGGCCTCCAAATGCACGCCACAATGATATCCCTCGCGCGGTCTACCGGCCTCATGCACCCAATACCCACCGAATCCGCCCACACCTCGGACCTCGACTCCCTCTGGAAAGAATTCATCAAAGCTGAATCTCACAAAAGAACCCTCTTCGCGGTACATCAAATCGACGCCCTATGGTACCAACTCCTCTCCATCCCTCGCGCCATCTCCCACCTCGAAGTCAAACACGACCTTCCCTGTCCAGAAACCCACTGGACCGCTCCCTCCGCTGCCCAATGGGCCCATCTCCAACTCATCTCCCAACAACAACATCACCACCATGCTACTTCGATGCGCTACGACGACGCAGTCCGCCACTTCCTATCCTCCCCAGCCACAGATCCTACATCTCCATCTACATCGACATCCACAATCCCCCCCTTCGACCCCTACGGCGCCATCAACATCACCCACTTCCTCATCTCCAGCGCGCGCGAAATCTCCGGCTGGTCCACCATGACCGGCATGCTAAGCATGGAGCGATTCTCAGCGCTGCGCTCATCGCTCCTATCTCTAGGTGTATTCCTCTCCCCATCACCAACCTCATCCTCTCCATCAACTCTCCCCCCCAAATCCACCACCCACGCCACGGCAACCTGGCAAACCGCCATGATCGAGCTACAGATGTGGTCACCCAGCCACACAGGCGGAATCGTCAAAGCCAGTATCGATACGATGCTCCAGCAGGCGACGGAGCTGGCGCCCTCGGCGTGTGAATTCCTCTGTGAAGCGGAGACGGCGAAGGCGTTCCAGTCCCATGTGGATTGGTTTCTGATGTATTTGGAGGAGGAGGGGAATGTGCAGGGTGAGGCGCCGTGGGTGACGTTGTATGCCTATAAGGCTTTTTTGGTCGCGTGGCAGTTGGTGAGAGGGGGTGTGCCTGGGGCAATGGGGGTGGTGGGGGTGGGTGATGGGGATGTGGAAGGGGCGGTGCTTTGGGCGAGGAGGGTGTTTGGTTGGAGGGAGAGGTGGGTTATTGGGAGGTTGGTGATGGGGTGTTTGGCGGGGTTGGCATAGTATTTATCTATATATAGCAAGATATGAGATCGTGTATGTATGAATGTAACTACCAGTGACTACTAGTTTGTCTGATTAACACAGAGTTATACCTTGCTATATATCAATACATCTCGTATCGCCACCGCAGCTGCACCATCTCCTCTGTAACCCCTCCTTTGACGACCTTGCCGATCAGATCTGGGTCACCGGAATCCAGGTATCTGTTCTCGCGACGGACCAGCCACCGATACACCGTGACCGTAGCAGCCAGGAGGAAGGCCGAACCCATGAGCGTTCCAAAGGCAGCATAGAAATGCGGACCATCGTAATATAGATACGACGCCCATATGTTCGACGTACAGCCGATGGAGTTCACCAGGGCGGAGGCGGCAGCGCGTTTAGACACCGGACGGGCCATATGCAGGTTGATAGTTTTGTAGAGTAGAAGCTGCGGACCGACAGAGGCAAACGGGAGGATCATCATTGCAAAGTACCGTGCGCCGATGTTGAGGGTGGACATGAGGATGATGTACATGACGACGGAGATGGAAATGCAGGCCATGATGAGTGGGTAGATGGTGTTGTAGCGATCGGAGTAGAACATGAGGCCGTAGTAGACTATGCCCGCAAGGACGTAGGGCGGTGCGGTGAGGAGGAGGCTGATGGTATTAGAGGAGAATCCGAGGGAACCGACCAAGGTGGGGAAGTAATTGGCGATGGAGCCTTGGCATTGGGAGAGCATGTTGCAGAAGATCATCAGGACGAGTTTGGGGTCGGAGAGGGCTTTCAGGAATCCGCGAAGGATGGGTTCGTTTTCGGAGCCTTCGGCGGCTCCGGCTTCGGATTCGATGCGCCATACGGCCAGGTCCCGCTCGATTGGGGAGAGGATGCGACTGTTGTGTGGAAATCCGGGCATGATTAAAGCGCAGATTATGCCGATGCCGACTGTGGCGCTGCCCTCGATGATGAAGAGCCATTGCCAGCCGGCGATGTTGTGGACACCGTCTAGTTGGAGGATGGCTGCGGCGAAGAGTCCTCCGAAGGCGTTGCCGACTTGTTGGGCGATGTAGAGACCGGCGATGCGCTTGCCAAGTTCCGCTTTGGTGTACCAGGCTGAGAGGTAGTAGATTGCTCCGGGGAAGAAGACGGCTTCGGCAATGCCGAGGATGGCGCGCACAGCGAGTAATTGGCCGTAATTGTGAACAGCTGCGGTTGCAGCTGAGATGCAGCCCCAGATGGTGACCGCAAGACAGATGTACATGCCCGGTCGGGCGATTCTGGTGATGAGAAGGTTGCTGGGGATTTGGAAGGGCAGATATCCAACGAAGAGGATTGAGACGGCCGTGGCAAATTGGTCTGTCGACATGTGGAGATCTTCCATGATGCCCTGCAGCTTGGCCGAAGCAAGGTTCTGACGATCGATGTAGTTCAGAATATACAAGAGGCCAACCGTAGGCAGAACCATGAGGTCCACCTTGCGGACGATTCTCCGATTGAGGCGTCGGCGCTCATCTTCGCTAAGGCTGCGTAGGGACTCTGGCATGCGCTCGTACGCATCGCCAACAACATCATTGACCTGCCCTTCTGCAGAGGAAATATTGCCCTCCGACTTGATGGACGAGGGGCGTTTCTTGAGATCCATTGATTTATCCATGACAGCAGGAGTGGGGGCTTGAAAAGGACCTGCGAGCTGTTGCTCCAGGGGAGACTGGCCAAGATATTAAGGAGCGTCAAAGGTGTATATCATGTTATTCTGATTGGATAGGCCGGTGCTATCCATGAAATCTGGGTAATGCCGACCGGCTATTGATGTGGAGTGTGTTACGAACCGTGGTGAGTCACTGATTCGCTGGCAATCAAGCGCCGGGTAGATAAGGAGGGAGGAGCGCACTAACCTTATCTTTTATCCTCCACATGAAAACAGTTCAGTCCATGTGTGACAAGCCTTTGCTGGAGGAGTGGAGGAGGAAGAGGAGTTGAGATGGATCGGCGGAGCTCCTCCCGGAGCGCTAAACACTCCTCCCGTTCAACTCCCTCCCCGCATGGGCGAAATTCCCTGGACACGACCAACATCCCTGTAGTAGGCCAACTACTTAACTGACCATGTCGACGAGTCCAGTAAGAGTCATCATTGCCTATCTCAGAATCCTCCTGATACCACCGCCACGATGACTTACACGAAGACCTACCCCACTCCTCTCACAACCGAGATTTCCAACCCTCGGCTGCGGCTTTTGAACAAGATCAAAGCCGGAGAATACCCGTTAATGACTTTCATGGCCCTTCCTTCCGTGCGCATGGCTCAGATTGTCGCTCTGACCGGGGTTGACGGTATCATCATTGATTGCGAACATGGCCATATCTCCGACGACGCCATGCACAACTCTGTCGCAGCCATCTCCTCCCTGGGTGTATCCCCCATCATCCGCATTCGCGGTCCCACTCATGATATTGTCAAGCGTGCGCTCGATACGGGTGCCCATGGCATCATGGTTCCCCAAATAAACACTGTCGAAGAGGCGCAACAAGTGGTGGCATCTGCCAAATTCCCGCCACAGGGATTGCGGGGCCAAGGGTCCGCCTTTCCTGCCATTGGCCATGGTCTGACTACGCCCGAGTATATGAAGTCTGCCAATGAGACCATCATAACCATGATTCAAATTGAGACCCGTGCTGGTGTGGAGAATGTCGACGCAATCTGCGCCGTTCCGGGTGTGGATCTTGTCTTCATCGGACCCAATGACTTGGCACAGTCTCTCCTCGGCTACGTGCCTGCACGGGGAGATGAACCGGAGTTTGTTGCTGCAGTTGAGAAGATTGTTGCGGCGGCGAGGAAGCACGGCAAGTGGGCGGGGAGAATGGTCAACAATGGGAGTTTGGCAAAGGAGGCTAGAAAGACATATGACACGGTCGCTATTACGGGCGACACCAAAGCGATTCAGAATTGGTATATGGCAGAGTTTGAGGTAGCAAGGTCATGAGATAATGGATTGTATAGAATAGAAAACGTTGTCGTCTAATCGAAATAGAAGAATGGGAACATTGCCTTGTATCGAAGACTCTTCTACTGTAGCATGGCTAATGACATGTACTGCTTATATCTATGACCAAATAGAGATAGAATTGACGAATCTCAGTGAGCTGATAATGAAGTAGGAGGAAAAATGGAGGAAGGGATAAAGTGAAGCGAGAGAGGGAGAGGGAAGAAGAGAAGGAGGGGGAAGACCAATCACGCAATCACCTGACAGAAGTGTCATGTCTCATGCTTTCCTGCTCAATTTCAGATCGTGAACGACCAACTTACAAGCTAAATACCTACAACACACACGCCACCACTGGAAGACTTGAAGTAGATCCCACTGCTAGACATTAAAGTTCACTACTGTATGAAGTATTCCGCAGAGTAAAAGATTTTTATTCGAAATTGTCATGGAATTTATCTATGTGCATTGACCTCCCTCTAATATCAACCCAATGACTCACGCCTGCGCGATACATTCAATCTCAATAACCGTTCCATCGCCCGGAGGAACTGCCTGCAGACACGACCGAGAAGGCATCGGCTTGGGCAGGAAATCAATGTACACCTTGTTCATGGCAGCAAAATCCTTCATGTCTGCCAGGTAGACGTTGTACTTCACTACTTGCTCGAGCGATGAGCCGGACAGCTCCAGAACCTCCTTCAGGTTTTGGAGTACAGTTCGCTGTTCAGCTGGTTAGATGGCCGGATGCCGTACGCTGGGTGGGGGCATGCTTACTGTGGCTTGCTTAATCTCTCCAGTGGCAGTTTGACCGGCACAAAAAACAAGTCCAGGAACTTTGACTGCGGGGCCTGTAAATACATGTTAGCCAGTGCCCTTATTCGGTAACAAACAAGTTGGGAGAGCTACTCACAGTTGTGAGGCTTGGGAGGGAACTTCTCGCTCGAGATAAGTTGGCGCGACATCGTGATTGGATGAATTTAAATGTGGTAATCTTCGACACTCTGAGATTAGAGCTTGTGATCTGAAAGGGGGATGCCAATGACATTGAACCCCCTTTAAATGGCTTTTTCTGCTAGTCCAGTTGTTGCAACATTTCTCGTGGATGGCGACGCCAAGCCTGCACTGCGGAGGCTGTGGGAGGAGCTCCTCCCTTATCGTTATCACGGTTATACCTGACTTGCTGGGTTGATCGGCACGAACTAACCACCTTAGGCGATCCGAGAGCAACTCTATCGGACACGCTAAGATAACGACGCTATCGAGGGAGGAGGCTTGGTTAGGAGGAAGAACGCGAGGTCGATAAGCATCCATCGTGCCATTGCTTCATCTGTTACTGCTCCAGAGGCAGTACTGTACGCATTCTGTGGGCTCCTCTGCCAGAAGAGCTCCCCTGAACTGTATCACATGGCTTGGATATCTGGGCATGGCGGACGCCGAGATAGTCTCAATCTAGACGTGTATATAATCAGACTTCAATTCGGAGTAGAAGAGATAGCAACTAGCCATATCACAGTCACTGCATATCACTGATCAAACAATATCAATCCTCCTTTTCCAGAAACCATCATGGCGCCCACAGCTCCATTCAACCCTCCTTCAGCTGACCTGCCCGGGAAGCCATCTGTGCCAGAATGGGTTCCCCCTGCTGTAACAAAGGAGAAGCACAACTTTGCTCAGCTCAAGTCAATTGATCTTTCGCTGCTCGACTCAGAGGACCCAGCAGTAGTAGATCATCTGATCCAACAGGTCAAGATTGCCATCCGTGATGATGGTTTCCTCTTCCTTGAGAACTACGGCGTTTCCTTGGAGCAGGTAGGTGGAAGCCCTCAATAGTGACAATGGTACACTCACTAATAGGTCTTATCTGCAGCTCCATCGCCAATTCGCCCTTGCACAGTATCTCTACAACAACATCAGCGAGGAAGACAAAGAGCGCCTCTTGTTCCACCCCGATACAGGTCTCTGGTCTGGATACAAGCACCCTTACGGATTCAAGGTAAGATACCGCCCCCACCTTCTCCAATACTATAGAAACTAACCTCAACATACAGCGCAACCGTGGCCCCGCCGACGGAATCGAGCAATTCAACTGGTACAAGCAGGACTGGGAGGACATCAACCGAGTCCCCACATGCCTGCATCCATTCATGGATGAGATCGAGGCTTTCTGCAACTACCTGACGCAGTCTGTCAACCAACGCCTCCTTACCCTCTTCTCCCGCGTCCTTGAGCTACCTGACGACTACCTCTGGAACAACGTCCAGTCTCATGGCAGCCCAACCGGAGAAGGCTACTTCCGACACGCCCTCTTCCGACCAGTGCAGAAACAAACTGAGGAGGCCTCAAAGGGTCTCCGCATGCACGGACACACCGATTTTGGCTTGACTACGCTGTTGTTCTCCGTCCCTATCTCGTGCCTTCAGATCTGGGGTCGCGATGAACAATGGTACTATGTGCCGTACAAGCCCGGTGCGCTGGTCATCAACATTGGGGATACTTTGGAGATTGTGTCTGGCGGACATTTTAAGGCGACTCGCCATCGCGTGTATAAGCCACCTGTGGATCAGTTGAATGAGGAGCGACTGTCATTGGTGCTGTTCAACAGTTCGGTTGGTGATTTAAGGATGGCACCTGCATATGGTAAGTGTGCTTGATTTTGAGATGCAGAAGGGATTATTATATGCTAATAACTGCTAGACTCCCCCCTTATCCAACGGGAAGGATGTGTTGAGGAACAAGGAGTTTACAAGGAGTTCCGACGACTCACATCGCAGGGCCAACTGGTCCCAACGAACCGTGAATGGCGCGAGATCCAGATTGCTACTGTCACGGACCCAACGGATACTGTGCGCAACCGACTTGGCGCTGACCAGGTGCTTATTGATGGAAAGATTATGCACCAGCGAGAATACATGGGGGTCAAGGTTGTTCTGCCTGTTTGATGGGTCGGCGGATTGTGTGGTGGCTGAGATGTAGAATGACTGTATGCAAAGTATTTATTCTTAGTTTCATTATTCCATTTTTTCTTTCAGCTAGTTACGATTACAGAGTCTTGGATGGTAACAGTAAGCAACGATCTTTTCGATCGCTTAAAAACTGATAGCGAGGGATGTATCTGCGATTCAATACATTCATGCTTACACTCCTCCGCGCTGTCACTTCAACTTTTCCTTAAATCAGGACTTCATCCCCAATTTATGGCTTTGCAATATTAAGTTAATCGACCTTATCCGCTCACCTTTGTTACATCGAGCTTACTTCAATTAGGGAATAAACCTATACAGTAATCGAAGCAGTTGAAACTTCCAATCATCATTAACGCTATCGCATGAAGATAAAACTAAGTACCAATCCATACAGAAAGATCGAATTATTACCTCAACCCTCCAGCCAACAAAAGGCTCTGCCCTGTCATATACCCGGTCGTAACCAGCATCAAAACCACATTCGCCGTCTCCTCTGGCGTCCCCAACCTCCCAAGCGGAATCCCCTTTACCACCTCCGGCACTGCCGCAGCATTCGGGATCATCCCCGTATCCCCAATCATAGCAGGAGCGACATCATTGACACTAATATTGTACTCGGCCAATCTGGTAGCAAGGTTCTTCATCATGCCGGTGAGGCCGCCTTTGGAGGCTGCGTAATCTAAATGTCAATTTCAAGTAATTAATAATATAGTCTTTTCCTATGCGCGTATGTTATATATGACAATGGGGGTAACTCACGGCACCCATTAATCCCACCCCCATAAGCCGCAATAGACGACATAAAAACGATACGTCCCCAGCGCTGTGCCTTCATGTGCTCGACCACGCCCTTGACTAGAATGAACGACGCGCGGAGATTAGTGGTTATCATGTCGTCAAAGTCAGAGATATCGATGTCCCAGATATTAGTGATTCGTTTCCCGGTGCCTGCGTTGGAGATGAGTATGTCAGGGCTGTGGCCATCATGTTGGGCGATGATTTGGTCGAATAATGAGGTAATGTCGGTAGCGGAGCGGAGATCGACTTGGTGGATGGAGATGCGGAGATCGGGATGGCGGGTTTGCAGATCTCCGTGGAGAGATTGTATCGCAGCGATATTGGTGGAGTATGTGAGGGCTAGGTGGGCGCCATTTTCGGCGAGTTTGTGGGCGCAGGCGGAACCGATACTGAATTTAGGATTCTGTCAGTCCTAGTGCTTCAATCTGGGGGCTAAGTGAGGAACAAGGTTCCATGGGAGTGGTGGGAGAAAACTGACCCTCCTGAAGCGCCGGTGACTAGGGCTAGCCGACCTCGGATGTCGTTTGCGGACATTGTTTAGATTGGCTGGTTACTAGTGTTGGTTGGTATATATCCTGATATCTTAGATTCAGGATAGCAATCAAGTATTTCCTTTCAGGGAGAAGTTCGGAGTGGTCAGTGGTGCATTATCAAGAGCCAGATAGCAGAATACCCGAGCTTATAGTATCTCGGAGCTCCTCCGGGACCCACATGGAGCTCCTCCTGGTCCAGGAAGTTGTCTGTAGGGCCATGTCAATAGTTTTTGGCCTCTGAAATGGAATGTAAAAAGTATTTTGAGTTGGACAAGAAATCGTTTCTGAAGGGTTAGCGTTGTATCTGGAAGTGAGAGAGTACGGTGATGTCGTGTCATCGTAGTAAAACATCCAAGCCTCGATAATACTTTGCAATGATTGGGTAACTGTAGCCAGTATCACACTGCCAAGAGCATTCCTCTATCTCTTCCTTATCTTCGTTATGACTCATTGTAAAATTTGCCCATTCCAGCATATGAATTCTGATTTGGCAGGTTCCTTGAATGGTATAGTGACTCATGCAATCAACAGATAATATGTTGCAGCCTATAACACTGAAGTCGTGCCCACAGCGACTAATTATGTGTCGATGTACCTGTCATGACTTGGCAGGGATCTGTGTGTGGTTGGCGACATTTCTGTACTCAGGGACCCTCTAATAATATGATTAGAACTCTTTTCCTTTCTGTCCTCCTTTCTGGACCTACCCAGCTGTTGTAAGCGTGATATTGTCCCACTTATCATGGGGTTGCCTACCTTACAAGTGCATTATCGCTACTTCTTCGAATGGTATTGCCCAAACAGGATGAGTGCGGCTACAGAAAGGATTTAATTGACGAACATGCTCTTTCAATTACCGGCTCTTTAGACTAGCCGGAGTCAGCCATTTAGCGCATTAGACTAAGTGGGAGACATATTGCTTGAATGTTAGTGCTTACGGTGAAGTGGAGAGGAGGATAATAATGCCACGCCCTTGGTTTGTGTGACTCACATTTATATTTCTCATCGTCGTGCTGTCCCCTTCATCAATTTGGCCCACCTCAACTATGAGCCATGGATCGTTTGCCACCAGAGCTGAAGCTACATGTGGCAGGTGCAGTAAGACTGCTACTACCCTCTCTTGGGAATTCTCTAACTCGGCGTCTAGGTGGGCGACGTGTCGCGGGAAGCTCTGCGAGCCTTATCACAGGTCAACCGTCAGTGGAGCAGATCGTCGCGCCCATTCTCTATAAGAATATTACACTACCGTTACGATCCCATGAGCCCCAGAATCGCATTCTCCAACTTCTAGACGTCAGCCGCATCTTACCGCATGTTAAGAAATTAACACTCCTTGCTAGAAGCTACTCCACTAACCTACCGGTCCCGGACGAAAGCATAGGCGATTATCTCGAACAAACTCTCCCTGAAGATATCGATGTCTCACTACTGTGTCAATATGTAGGTGATTGGACCCCGACATTGCCCTGGTGAAGCGGTTGCCCTGTCTGCAGCAGCTGACCATCCTGGCTTTCGCACGTTATGCTGAGCTTCTGGATGTCGTCGCGGAGGTGCATCCATCCTGTCGTGTGTCTATATTCACGCTTAGTCGGTTTTCTCCGAGGTGGATTCTCTATTGGTCCGAATGGCTTCGTTCTCCCGTGCTATATGCGGTCACAGTCATATGCCATGATGAAAGACATATGAGAACCTTTAGGGAGGATCCTGATCGTTCTCTGTGGGACCTTCTCCATCAAGCACGACAGATCAAGTATTTATCGCTGCAGATTAGTGTCAAGCCCTTTGACTGGATAATCTCAGAATCTACAAGATGGTCCCCGTCCCAGCTGTCAGAGAGCGAATTCAACGAGGCTCCACGTGCGAAGCTGGAGACGCTTTCGCTACCCGTGATCACAAAAATGACTGCGGCACAGCTGCAAAGGTGGTCCCAGATGACTGATCTGGCATATCTCACCGAGTGGGCGGCGGGTACCATCGAGGAAATGACTACCTTGACGGCCATCACTGAGCTGCAGCCTTTCCGGGCATTGAATCGGTTAACGCTTAGACTTGACCAACCAAAAGACTCTCCATGCTGGCCAAGGGCAGTCAAGAGGATGTTTCGCTCACTCCCACCATTGAAATACCTCTATCTTCTGGGAAGATATAACCCAGCGATACTTCCCACCGCTATTCTGAAACGACACGGCCCAACTCTGACCGAGTTGAAGTTGTACTACAAGCGGTCACAATTTCAACAAATCAACGAGGCGCGTCCACTCCCACTTAGAAAACAGAGTGCTCCCACATTCCCTCCAGCCGTCATTACCAACATTGCAGCCTGCTGCCCTGCTCTGCAGACGCTGTGTATCTGCGTGCAGCGATATCGAGGCCACCCGATCGAGGCGCAAACATACGACGCTCTGGCGAAGTTCCCGGTCTTACAGAAGTTGGATCTCGTCCTCAACTGTGTGGCAGCAAGCAAGGTCGACGGGACGCCGTCTCCGCCACGGGAGCTGACCGCGTACGAACAAGAACTCTTCCCATACCGCTTCGGCCAGATCTCCAAATGGACCATCCGGGACTGCATGATCAACTCGGCCTTTGATGAATCGCTGGTCAAGGCAATCTTCAATCGCATTCTAATGGGCCAACAGGGTCGCTCTTTGCAGCTGCTCCGCTTACATCCGCACCTTGGCAAGTTCGAGCCCTGGATGAGCACGGACATGCGCAACCGTCTACCAGTTAGTGCAGGGGAGATGATTAAGGAATTGGCGGGGGCGTGGCAGGTCGACTGGCCCAGATATGGTAAACCGCAGTTGGAAAACCGGTTTAGACCCAGTCGTGATCAAGAAGCTGTAATAATACCCAAAGATGGCGAGATCTTCGAGTCAATCTGGCCGTCAACTCGGGAACCCAAGACTTGGCCCCTGGAATGGTGTAGCTGGCCTTTGCAGTAGACTATGTTGGTCAATGGGACTTTCAATCAGATCATACTGGTAGGCTGTTGCTCTATCTATAGAAACAGGCATACGGTCAGAAGTTGACTCAGACAGCCTAGGTAAAAATGCGTGCGTGACAGGATGTCGCAGATCTTTCCTATCTGGGAGGGTCAACTTAACCACGGCAAGCCTCGTGGCCTCGGAGAACTCTGAATCGTACTAATTCGCTTTGTTCGAATGAGACGAAATTCCAGTACTTATGTATAGTCCAGCCTCAGTCAGAGAAGGTGACGCCTGATGTTGTGAAAGCAAAGCCCATCGTAGAGTTACTTTGCTGCTAGGCTAAAGATGGGTGGTTAATGAGTACGGAAGGCAGGCACAGTAGGGCGCGGTCGGCTGCAGGGGCTGACATTCTGTAAACACACACGCACACACGCACACACATGTTGAGATGAAGCCATCATGTCCGCGTTTCTTACGTTGTCACTGGCGTGTAACATCGTCGGGCTTTCCCAATGTTTATCGTCCGAAGTTCATCTCCGCTGCACTATCTACTGCCGCATCCGCAGGGCTGATCTGCCAAGGTGAAGGGGGTACGCGATTCCGACTTGTCCGACCTCGCGGAACACCAGCACACGACAAAGCCTCCAACGTGTGGCTAGCGATAGACGAATCTAGACCTGATGCTGAGTACATTAGCAAGCTACCGCCTGGAGACAACAACGACAGTCCGTGGTCCAATACTGCTCTCGCTGCTTTCAAGCATGAATTGGAGATGCAAAGACTGTTTGCAAAGGATCCTATGATTCGCAGACTCGCGGATTACGTTCCTGAGTCGGAGCCTGTTGGACCGATGATGGTCCTTGAAGCATTTACGGACTCGCTCTGGGATGCTCGGAATGCTAGGCCCTTTACTACGAAGGAAATCAAGTGGATTATGAAGGGGGTACTCCTTGGTATTTATACGGTCCATATGAGAGGACTGGTTTATACAGGTAAGACTGAATGTCTGATAAACTCCCAAAATTGGCTACCAGGCTAAGCATGGTCTGTACTCAGATCTAAAGATGGAGAACGTTGTACTTGGAGGGTTCGATTCCTCCAAGCCAAGTGAGAATTTTCGTGATCTGATCCTAAAACTGGCAGATTGCGGTTCTAGTACGTGGCATTTCTTCTTCCTGTATCCTTGCCCAGCAAATCTCACATATTTTATAGTTAGCAAACCATCTACCAGAGAGATCACTTCCCTCACATATCGAAGTCCCGAGGTCCACTTCGGGAAATCTTGGACTTCGAGCACAGATGTGTGGTCCTGGGGGATAATAGTTAGTGAATTGTCTTTCGAATGTCTTTCTCGCGGTGCGCTCTCTAACGATATCATCTACAGTTAGCCCAATTGTTCCAGGCCCAGGTGGACTTCAGATCAGCGGGAATTTACGATTCAATTCAAAAAGTATCGAGGAGAAGCGAGATACCATTCGGGGTCAGCTTGCAATTGACTTTGACTTGTCATCGCTGCCATTCTATGCTAAGGACAAACAATGCGCCCGGATCTTGCCTACCCCACAACCAGAAAGGGCATACATGTGGGCGAACAACATGGTTGAGAAAGGTGTTCCGGGTAATGATATCCAATTTTTGGTGGAGGTTCTACACCCAGATCCAAACGCACGCCTTACGGTGCGTGAGATCCTCGAAAGTGGATATCTGGACGGCTAAGTGGGATTAAGTTCTGTTTTCACCATGCATCGCCGGCGCCAAGTCGGAATTATTGAAGCGCCCGCGAAGTCTTCGTTACGGATCTTGAGGTCTCTACATGAGCAGCTGACTAGTCGGGGACGTATGTAAAATCAAAAACGCTTCAGACCTGATTACTGGAAACAATCACAGTATTGTAAAAGTTCAAAAACAAAATAATACATACAACAGAAGGGATTCGCTGGTGGTCACCCACCCAACTACTAACCTCCCGGCGTGTGGCTTGAGTACGGCTGAGCGGACGGGAAGCCCTATTTTCCACACCCTATGGTCGTATGTGCTGGATGATAGCTAGGAGCGGCATATCTAATTCAGAAGAAGAAATACTATGATCAAGTAACTATAATCTACCCCAAAGGAAGTTCCATAAAGCCGCCAAGTACGCCTAGCTGAATCCACTCTTGACTTACGGCCTGACATGGCTGAGAAGTATGATGGGATGACTGGGCTGATCCAAAGCTTAATTTCTATTCATCATTCGAGCTTTCGCTGCCCCAATCGACGCTGGTTGCTCACATATGGGCCTCCTGTCGGCTTGCTTTCTTCCATGCCTCTAAGTCCAAATATTGTGCAAGACTGACGGAATTGAATGCGATCAAATTGTTTTGTTTAGCCAGCGGCCCGGAAGTAAGAGCTACGTGACGTCCACAGACGGAAAGGTGATCCGGTGCTTGCGCATCATTTCATCACCTATGACATGATGTCGACAGACGTTCCATGTATCTCGTGATGACTTCCTTCCCCTCCCTTTAACGCTTTGAAAGCTCAGCATTCACCCGCTCTTAAGCTATCGCCCAAGTTTTGACCGCTAGACCCAGGAAGAAATAACGCGCCTATCCCAACAGCTGCTCGAGCAATATGTCCGAAAAGTTATCAGATTTCGACATGGCACTCAAACCTAAAACCAGGAGGCCTTTCAACTCCACTATGCAATCTATGTTGACAAAGCTCCATTTGAAACACAGCCTGAGAGCCTCATTCAGTGTCCTGCCTCCGAGACTGGTGGAAAAAATATTCACATTCCTTTCCGTCCCAGATCAGATCTGTTTCGGACTAAGCTGCCAATTAATTCTATGTTGTCTGAAGTCCTACCTTGAGGAGCAGAAAACCCAGCTTTATCAGCTTCTTCCCGTCGAAAAACGAAAGGACATATTCGCCAAGATTGAACAACAACCCAGAGTACAGTTGCTACTTCGACTCGAGAGCGATCGTTGGAGATACTGCAGTGACTGTCAAGTTCTTCACCCAGCCTTTACCTGGCGGTCTCTACGTGATCTTAAGGAAACGCATACGAAGCAATCGAAATGTTGCTCTGGATGTTCTGTTCTAAAGGCAGTATACGCTGTATGCCATATGCTGGCGAAGTTGACATTTGCCCGTGTACGAGAATCACATTCGTTGATAAACTGGACTTGATACGGCTATGCAAAAAGGAAAAAAGGTTCGTGCCTGTCAGCAATGGAAAGTCCAGTAGCGTTCCTCCCACTCAAAAGCCGAGTAAAGATTTCCAGCATTCCTGCGTGTTCAACGCAAACCCTTTGTTTAGGGTCAGAATCAGGACTGATCTTTTGTACGATGATACGCACCAGAGACTGTGCCTGTACAACTTTTACGAGATCTACACCGTACCCGGATGTCCTTTGAAGAGCTTGCGATCTATCACCAGGTGTCCACACAGAACCATAGTGGATTTTGCTCAACAAATCTTTCATGAAGGTGGATCAGGGTTTATGGGGTGGGAAAAGAATCGCTCAACGCGCTCTGCTAAATTCAGTAGTTGGGCGAGGTATGAGATTGCAGAAGGTTGCTACTACTCCATGACGATATCAACAGCAAGAGACTTGGGGAAAAGTGATTGGCCTGATAAAGCTTGGACTCGCCAATCTTCTCATCGCAATACCCCCAGCGGGAACGCTTAACTGAAGGGCGTCATTTGATATGGTAATGTTTGGGAAACGGCCATTTATCTCCCTTTCTCGATATATGCTAGTATGAGGCACAGCTTGACGAAATGTTATTCTACACAAGACTGTTTGGATGACTCGAAGGGATAGTCATTGATCTTAACTTGGTAACAGAGAGTCTAGGGATTTTCTTCACTTTCACTTGTAAGGATCGAACAATATCCACGTTTAAATTATTAATCCTCATAAATTGATGAAATCGTGCAAGTATACCCTTATATTTGGACTGCACCTGTACCAGCTATCAAATGTACATCTTTATCCTGTATAACGTAGAATTTTCGGATATCCCCCTACATCTCCGTCGCTAACATCAATGGCTAAGAGCAAGTCCGCCATTTCAATCATTAGATAACCATCACTAAACACTAAGCAGAACCCGTAGCAGCAGCAGATGCACTCGTGCTCGGAATTGCCGCAGCAATGTCTCCCATACCGGCCATGTTCATCTCAAAATTATCATTGACCTCACCTCCATTCTCAGTCCAGTACCCCTCAGGAGACAGCGAGTCATCGCGCTTGGCATTCACTCCGATCGAGATCCAAGCGAAGATACCGTCCGAGACATTGTCACCGAGAAGAACATACTCCATGAACGGGTCAGTCGTGTCTGCCTCCGTTTGCAGAATGGAGTCGTCGGCGTTCTCAGTCAGACTCTGGGTATTGGTCGAGTAGGGACTCGTCTTCTCGACCTCGGTAATTAGGTCCTGGTCGAAGAAGATCTGGCCCACATGCGAGGAGTGGCTGTCGTACATGCCGGCGATGGTGCCATTGGGAAGGATTTTGGTTTCGTTGGCGGGGTGGGTGACGACTATGCATTCAACGTTTATTGATTTGTAAGCCTTCCATAACAGCGAAGAGGTAAATGGAAGGATAACGATTGGGGAGGGGCATAGGTGTACGTACCATGAATGTGAACCGCTCGGCCAGCATAATGCCCGGGGAAAATCGATTCGAAACGCACGACTCCGTCGTGTCCGCTGGGCTGGACGCCGCGCAGGAAGGTCGTGTTGATGTTGCCTTGGTCGTTGGTGTTTCCGTTACCACTCTCAACTACACCGGAGTAGACACCCTGTTTCCCGCAAAGTGCGGTAGAGGTTAGTGGCTTGGGGTCAATTTGAGATGAACACAGAAGTTGAGGAAGTTCGTACGGTTGCGTTGCAATGCCAGATATCCGTGTAGATGTTGGGCAGAGGCTCGCAGGTATTGGTATCAATAAGCTGGATATCCATGAACAAGGGCACACCGGCCTGGTCCTCGGCCACGTTGCGGCGGATGAGCTCTCCGGCGATGTCTGCAGTGTACATTGTAAGGTTCTTGTTTCAGTAGTAGAAATGGCGCAAGAGACATACAGTAAGGACCCTGAGTCACTTCGGGCTGGACGATGCAGGTGCCGCCGGATGCGAAGAGGACACTTGGATCAGTTGATGGGTTGACACCGGTCAAGTTGGAATGGTGATCAGTGGCGAGGACCGAGTCCAGATCACGAGCCTTGAGGTATTGAGTGCCTAACCTGTTAGTTTGGACCGTACTAGGTGTGGACAAAGTGTTATCAATCAAGGGAAGGAAATGTCCCTTGTGGCTCAGTGCTTACTGGACATTCCCCTCTCCCGACGCAAGTGCTGAAGGGCATTCGCACGCCGAGCGACATTACTATCCTCAACTCCACGAGCCTTGAGGGTGGAAGCACATTGAGCGAGGCTGCGTGACTCCAAAGGTGCACGCTTGAGGAACGCTGCCCGTTCAGCAGCTTCATGCTTGACATCGTGTCCGGGATGACCAAGTCCCAGAGACGCCAGCACGGCGACGCTGATGATCAAAGGAGAAGAAACATGAACCATGTTGATAGGTGTCTGGAAGGAGTGAAGCTAGCAATTGAAGAATGAACTCTAAGCTGCAATTGATCGACTCGATACTACCTAGGAGCTCATGATCTTTATAGGTAATTTTTCACTCCAACTCCAACTCCAACATCGGCGACAATGGAACCATCTAGGTCTAGAAGGGAACGTCATCCCGTCCCACCCTCATGTTTCGATGTTTGGACCCAAATCTATCCACCAGTCATATTCTCATCTAATCTAATCAAGAGACTGGAGTCGCGCAGCACTGTTTGCTATGTCTTGGTGCCTACTGAAACCCTCCTATGGCATATTGTTGCTGCAGCACACGCGTCCATGACTTGCGCCATAACGAGGTGAACAAAACTCCAGCTCTTGCTATTGGCTAGTCCAGTTACTGGACAATATTTGTGGTAGAAATCGACTTGACGCCAAGACAAAGCCAAGGCATACAAATAGCCGATCTGCATTAGTGACGAAGTTTCCAGTCATGGATGTATCCACGGTCCGGCGAAGGAGGATTAGTTGGGGAGAGTCAATTGGGCGCAGGCAACAGTAATACGACCTGCAAATTCACCTTATCTGATATGCCTTAGTATTATATATTCAATGCTGAACAACTAAAAATACTTCTTACCCGCAGTGGCGTCTCATAGAGCTCAGTAGTCGGTTCAAGCCCTATGCGGATATTTGTATCTCAGAATGCCGAAAGGAAAGGGTGGATGAGTAATCGGGATCTGCGCATTCCGATCCCCATGTCCCTCTGGCCCAATCGACGCCAAGATATTAGACATTGGGGTTGATCAATCGATCGGCACCAAAGCTTGCGTCACTTTTGCCCGGAACCAGCACGTCTGGCAGAAAGGCATTTTCGGTACCTGCGTGGCTGCCTTTGCGCGGCTATTACCAAATACCCGTTAACCGGAGTTGCTATACGCTTCGCACTAGAGATGAAGGCATCTAACACAGCGGGGACGTGGAAACTATTTGCGACAGGCTGTTTACCTAGGTCAGTTTATAGAAAGTGATACACCTGTAGCAATACCGCTTCATAGGCTGGACTGCAACATTGATATGTAATCATCTTTGGAAAGCTTGGACTAACGTCTGCTTCTGGGTTCTAGAAGAGTCAATGTTAAAACAGCCACCATAGTATGTCCTTCATATTCTGAACCTGGTGAATACTAGGCCCAGCTGACGAAAATTATTGTGGGCCTCCAAGATCCGTCCCCACCTAGTAGGACTGGATATTTCGAAGTTTAGCTCTGTCCCTTAATGCGGTTGAATGGACGTTAGTTGAGCATCTTTCGATATCATGGCCGTATTCGAGTAGACCCAAAGAGTTTTCATGACTAGGCTTTAGTTGTCTGGATATACCAGTGCAAACAATACCTTGCTACTATAGCATCCGGGCTCAATCTACACAGCCACAGTAATGTGGTATTTCTGGCGTTCATCATTGCACAGTCGCGTTTTGATCATGGTATTTTTGAATCCCTAGCCATCTTGGATGGTGTACTGATAGCCCAATATTAGGTTAGGACAAGGTAGTTTGTCCAGCTTCTATGAATTTGTATGTTATACACTCCGACCCCAGAAGGTGAAAGTTAAAAGAGATTCATAGCCTGTACAGATATCTCCAATACCCGAAATAACCCTACCCATATCCAAAATAAGAGCAGCCACTAGACTGCATAAAATCGATATATACTACTCCAGTTAGGGGATATATAGCTCAGAACAAATTTCACAAGGAATTAGCCTAGAACCAACCACCTGTATTGCTTGAAGTTTGGAAGAAAGATAACTACACTTATGCATCCTTGACCTGAATATGATCATATCACTACCAAATCCCGTCTCCCATCCTCACTCGTACTTATATCTCTCCTCCAATTCCTGTGAAAAATAGCATTTAGCAGCAGTTACTGAAAGCAAAAAGCATGAACCATAGCACTCACCCAGTACTTATTAAACCCAACACCTTCACAAACTTGGTCATATGTCAGTATCATAGGCGGCGCTCCAACCGTCATGCTCCGCTTCAACCCATCAAGGGCTTCACGGAGTCCCCGCAAATGTGCGGCGACCAACGTCCACGGATACGCCACAGCGCAGAACCCCAATTCCGCAAGGTCCTTGGCCGATAAGTTTTCGGTCTTACCGCCTTCAATGATATTCGCGAAGGTCGGAATGCCCACTTCTTGCACGCAGCGTGTCATGGCCTCGCGGTCCGGCAAAGCTTCAACAAAGACCGCATCGACGCCGAGACGGCGAAACTCGTGTGCTCGGGACATGGCTTCGTCCCACCCGTGGATAAGAGCATCCGTCCGTGCCAGGATGAATATATCGAGGCCTTGATTGCGGGCGTCACAGGCGGCTTTGATACGAGCGAAGGCTTCCTCGCGCGACACGACGCTTTTCCCTTTCGTGTGGCCGCATCCTAAAAGTGGTTAGTATATCACACAAGAACGGAAAGAGAAGATGAGATATACTCTTAGGCCATTGCTGATCTTCAATCATAACTCCAGCCGCACCAGCAGCAGCAAAGCTCTCCACTGTCCGCTTGACGTTCAATGGACTGCCATACCCCGTGTCACCATCCGCCATAACAGGAACCGACACCTGCCGGACGGCATCACGAATCTTGTCGCACATCTCAGCCATAGCAATGTACCCCGTATCGGGGAGGCCGTAGGAGCTGGCAACCGCGTACCCGGCAAGGAAGACCATGGGAAACCCGGCCTCCTCGACCAGGCGAGAGGAAAGACCGTCGTAGGAGCATGCGTGCGCAAGGATCTTGTTTGGGTCTCCATGTGCCTCGAGCATCATCGTACGGAGACGAGATGCCTGAAGCGATGGGATCTTGCCGCGCACGTTTGGCAGTTTGACAGTCACATCCTGCGTGGTGCCATTCTGGGGTCCAATACCTGGTTCGTGGGTCCGCAGGGAGTCGAACTGGAAAGGGTAAGGCACTTCGCTGGTAGACATGGTCAGGATTGGGCTTAGCGTTTATAGAGTAGGTCAAAATACTTCAGTTGCAAGAGTATTGGGCTTGAGACGAATGTGCGCGTTCACTTGACGTTTTATGAAGCCCTCAATTCCCCGCGGATATTTCGAGCTTCGGGTATTTGGCAATATCCGCCACCCCGCTCCGCTATGTCGGCAGTAGGGAAGAAGAGTTTCATTTCCATGTTTTGATGCATCAACCCCGTGGGGAAATGCGATCCATTGACCTAGTAGGCCCCAGGTTGCGGGGAAGGCCATGCAGGCTCTCCTTCTGCATGGGAGTATAGCATCGTGGTCCTATAAAAGGGGCCATTGAGCGCAACATGGACTTTGCAGTTGAGGAAGTACAACCATCCCTATCTTTAAGGCAAAACTTCACACAGTATGAGTCAAGTCTTTAAACCTATCGATGATCCAGGTAGTGAGCACATTGAGGGAGTGGATCCAGATTGCATGGACCATACGCTTCAACGAGTTCAAGTCAGTCCAGAACGACAAAGGTCAATCGTTCGGAAGGTTGGCTATTCCTTCTGTGTGGTATAGAATGAGTGAAGCTAAGTTCCAGAAAGTTTGACCGACATCTATTGCCGCTCCTTAGCGTCTTGTATATTTTGTCATACTTGGACCGCGGTAAGTGCACCATGTCTCCGTTCCGTCTCATCATTGCTCATGCCATTGTAAAGGCAACATCGGCAACGCAAAGATTGCCGGGCTCCAAGAGAGTCTAAATCTGGATGATTCAGACTGGTCCTGGGTCCTGAACAGCTTCTATCTGTGCTATACTGTCTTTGAGTGGACAAACCTTCTGTGGAGACTATTTCCCGCGCACTATTATGTGGCAGTTTTGTGCATCTGGTGAGTAGTCCCTGCAATCTTATCATCGTCATATTATATAAATTAAACTATCGTTTGAATACAGCTGGGGTGCTGCTGCCATGTGTAGCGGAGCAGTTCACAACCTTGGTGAGCTTATTGTGTGTCGGTGCCTGTTGGGTGTGTTCGAAGCCAGCTTCGGCGCTGGGGCACCTTATTTCCTCTCCTTGTTCTACCAACGGCATGAGCTAGGGCTCCGCGTGTCGGTACTTCTAGGAATGTCTCCGATCGCGAACTGCTTTGCCTCTGCACTGGCATATGGCATTACTCAGATCCGGAATGGACTTGAGCCATGGCAGTATCTCTTTCTGATTGGTGAGTCTCGTCCATCTCTCTGGACCATCCACAGGAATTTCCAAAAATAACCCTTGAATGTAGAAGGGGCACCTACCGTCATAATCTCCGTCGTTGTGTTTTTCTTTCTCCCGGATAGCCCCGGGTCGGCCCGGTTCTTGGATGAGCAGCAACAAGCAGATGCAGTTGGGCGCTTGACAACGCAAGACCGCACAGCGAAAGACCGCGTGCATTGGAAGCAAATCTGGAGTGGTCTCCTGGACTATAAGAATTATGTGCACATGATCATCCATTTCTGTTGCAATTATTCCTTTGCGGGTCTGTCCAATTTCCTGCCCACTCTCATTGAAGATATGGGCTACGTCTCCGTCCACGCTCAGGGCCTCACAGCCCCTCCCTATCTGGGATCTTTCATCTGCTGCCTGGCAGCCGCCTTCTTGTCGGACCGGTTGGGTAACCGAGGCTTGGTAGTGGTAGGATTCTCGACAATAGGTTTGGTTGGCTACTTGATGCTGGCCTGTGTACACGATGCTAGCGCAGATGGGGTACGGTATGCAGGTATCTGGCTAGCAACATGTGGAGTGTTCCCGTCTCTCGCGATTAACATTACCTGGTTACTGAATAACCAGGGTGGCGACAGTAAACGAGGAGCCGGGATGGCAGTGTTAGCGATATTCGGGCAGTGCTCGAGCTTCGTCAGCAGCTCTTTATTTCCGGCCACTGATGCACCCAACTATACGCGTGGGTGTGCTGCGGGCGCAGGCTTGACGGGCTTAGTGGTGGTTCTTGGCGCCGTGCTACACTGCAAACTCAGGCTCGAAAAT